TGTTCAGTGTGCATATGGATTCAATCCCACACCACTGATCATAGCCCCGCCTATCAGCACTGAAAACTCTTTTGCCTTAGGGATTTTTGCAAGAGCAGCATGACTGATATTATGAAGGCCTGAACTGAAGACAGCAAACTGTTAGTACAGGCACATTCTTTCTTGGCAGGCTCACTGTACCTCTTGGAAAACCTCAATGCAAGACAGTTTTTCATTGCTGGCACTTTTTTTTCTCTTCTTTTTTAGAGAGAGAGGGGTAAAGAGAGGGAGAGAGAAACATCCATAGGCTGCCCCCCATGGCAGACCACACCCACAACCCAGGCACATGCCCCACCCAGGAATTGAACCATCCGCCTCTTGGTACACTCAACCAACTGAGCCCCATCGGCATATTTTGGAATTCTGCACATTCGTGGAGTGCAATAATACTGGATAGTTATTTTTTTCTCCCCCAAGTTCACTCAGTTAATAGTTTTTTAAAATGTAGACATTTCCCAGCTAGTGTGGCTCAGTGGATTGAGCGTTGTCCCGTGGACTGAGGTCCTGGTTCTGGTCAGGGCACATGCCTCGGTTGCGGGCTTGATCCCCAGCAGGGGGCGTGCAGGAGGCAGCCGATCACTGTTTCTCTCTCACAGATGTTTCTATCACTCTCTTCCCCTTCCTCTCTCTCTAAAAAACCAATATAAACATATTTTAAAAAAATATAAATAAATAGCCCTGGCTAGTTTGGCTCAGTGGTTGGAGCATCAGCCTGCGCACTGGAGAGTCCTGGGTTCGGTTCCCGCTAAGGGCATGTACCTCAGTTGCAGTTTGTCCCTGGCCTGGTTGAGGTCGTGTGGGTGGCAACCACTCAATGTGTCTCTCACATTGATGTTTCTCACTGTCTCTTCCTCCTTCTCTCCCTCCCGCTCTATCTGAAGATAAATGCAAAAAAAATGTTCTCTGGTGAGGATATATATAAAATGTAAACATTGCTACTTACACCTTTTTTTCCATTAGTCATATTTGAAAAAATAGCATAATGAGTTAGAATTTGATTTTTTTTTAAAGATGTCTGTTAAATTTGTTGTGATTTTATGTGAATTTTCCTTTTTTATAGTTTAGAATTGATCTTTTGGGGAATATAGCTAAAGTTCTCAAATACTTTATAAGAGTTTATAAGACATCTCTGATTTGATCATGTCCAACTTATATAGGTTTCAAGATACTGCAGATTGTGAATAGTGCATTATACAAGATTATGGGAGGAGATCCTATGTGCAGAGTAGTCTACCAGTGTGTGTGTGTGTGTGTGTGTGTGTGTGTGTGTGTGATTACCAGAGAACTACTAAATGACTACTTTTTTTTTTTTATCTTTATTGTTGTAAGAATTACAGATGTTCCCCCTTTTATCTCCCATTGATACCCTCCTTCCCGCTCCCACCCCCCTCCTACCTTCCCCACACTATTGCGTATGTCCATTGCTACCTTCTTTTTAAATCCTGTTATAGGTCAAGTGTCTTGCCTTGACCAATCTAATGAGTTGATTAACTGGGCCTTTATTCTTAACTCAGTAAAAAACTAAGCAGATATAAGTTAAATAAAAACTTTGAATTTATTGCCCAGCATACCTATTAACATTATATATAACAGTCATCTGCTTAGATTTTTGTTTTTGACTTAGTTAATTTCATAATGCATACACTTTAGATTTACACACAGATAATAGACCATTTACCAGTTTTAGGCTAATTGAAACTCGCCTTACTAAAGAAAGTTTATTTGAACTTCTTTACAACATTAATATTAGATGAATGGAGATCAGTTGTCTAATTAAACTTGCCTAACATATATCAGAATTGTATTATATTTAAGAAACAAAGTTGAAAAGTTTTTTATTCAGTGAATTTAATATCTTTTCAGAATTCTAAAAAGACTATAACTAATTTAGTAGGAATAGGGCCATAATGTAGAAAAATAGTCATATAACAAGAGTCATGACAAACTTCAGCTTCTATATAGGAATAGAAGTGGCAGGCCTAGGTTTGTTAGTGGAAGTAAAAGGATTTATGGGAAAGATAGTTCATCTTTGGATCCACCATTTAACGTGACTGTATACTGTTTCTGGATGCTTGTTGAATGCATTTCTTAGGATGATCATGATTGTGACAGCCTCAAGGTGGAGCCTGCTGTACCCTCTAGCTGACAGGAAGTTAGTCTGCAGAAAACTGGTTAAAACGGCTTATCCTTTTCATTAAGACTGCAGAACTGTTAACCTCCGTTCATGCAGTGGCAAGAGTCAATACAGTTTAAACTGGGAAGTTACTTGCAGGTTATTGCTATTCAGGTGTAATAACATTTTGTTCTCTTTTCTCTTTATTGTTGACACTATTACAGGTGCCCCCAATTTCCCCCACTTTGCCTACCTACACCCATCTCCCACCCGCCTTCCCTCTGGCCATCAGCACACTGTCGTCTGTGTCTGTGGGTCAGGCATATGTGTTCTTTGGCTAATCCCTTCACCTTCTTTCATCCAGTCCCCACCCCACCCCCTGTTATCTTTGACTAGGGCTAAAACTTTATTTGTACCAGCTCAGACTTCCTCTCTTCTGTAAGTTGAACACACTGTTGAGTGTGTCCAGGGTCTTTCTTCAGATGGGCATTCCACTAGTGACAGTCAGCCATGAAGAAAGTAGGATTTTATTTCAACGTTTTCCGTGTTTGCCTTGGGTGGATAAATTGTCCTTTAGAGACTAGCTTTAAGTAGCTTAGACTCTGATAAAACTCAGCTATTTTGTTGATGCCCATCTCAATATTGTTGTTTCATCTTTGGCCATATTTAAATCTAGGATTTGATGGAGATTAGTGAAAAGTTAGTGGGAAGCATGAATAAAAAAAAAAAAAAAAAAAACTTGAAGGGAAACGGGAAAGTTTAAATGAAACTATTTACAATATAGTTTTATTCCTAACATTTCAGAATTTATTAGTTGCTTATAAACTTGTGTGGCTCTGTAGTTTATAAATGTCTACGTACTACATTAACAGTGGTTAGAAGACCACAGAACATGACGGCAGGTTGGCTAATGTTATTGGGGTTTTACTGCAGTTGCTATTGTGGAAGAAATTATTTGTTAGATTAGTTTTTTAAACGTTTAAAAAGAAAAAAAGAATAATTATTCAGGAAGCATTGATTCAGGCAAAAGCCGCAATCTAATTAGGAGATAAACGCAATGGGTATGAGCAGGGCAAGGGAACAATTATATCCACAGAAGGAAGGCATTTCTGTTAGTGCAGATAACATAACAGTGATTCTGGTTCTAAACAGTGGTTTGACTTTTCAGTCACTAGTCATGATAGTCTGCTTTCTTGTTATCTTTGCGAACAGATCTCTAGGGCAAACAGTTGCTTCAGTCCAAATTTAAAGGTTATTGTAGCCTGTTTTAACATTCCAAAGATTTGAGGCATAATACATAAAGGCAGTTCCTCTGGGATGGCATCTCTGTCTCCATTTTAAAGTGGCTCCATTTTTCTCTCTTTTTACTTTGTAAATTAATGGGCACAGCTGTGTTCCTATAAAACACTAAAAAAAAAACAGGGCCCTGGCCAGTTTGGCTCAGCGGTTAGAGCATCGCACCGCGGATCAAAGAGTTGTGGATTCGATTCCAGTCAAGGGCACGTACCTCGGTTTTGGCCCGGTCAGGGTCGTGTGGGAGGCAACCAATCCATGTATCTCTCTCACATCAATGTTTCTCTCTCTCTCTCTGTCTCTCTCTCTCCTTCCCTCCCACTCTATCTGAAGATAAATGGAAAAATATCCTCAGGTGAGGATTTAAAAAAACAAAAACAAAAAAACAGGGATTGGAAGCCCACAGACCACAGTTAACTGATCCTTGGGCTAAATCAGTGTTTTTCATACTGATTTTTGTTTGCTTTTTCACTGTATTTGGAGCCTAAAACCATCCTTTTCTGGGTCACTGTGGTGTCCCCCGTGTCTCAGTGCCTGGCACAGAGCAGGTGGCCAGTGAGCCTTTGTTGTACAAATGAAGGTCTAGTGATTCCATAGACTCTCTGACTCCCTAGGCTGAGGAGGCTGCTCCCTCTGCCCCATACCCCCAGTTCTCTGTCACCAACCTGCACTTCAAATCCTTTTTATCTATTTGTATTCTGGTGACCACCTGTGAACCTGCTGCCCAACCTGAGGGCCAGAGTATCACCAGTGAGCTCTGAACTTTCCACACAGGATTTCCTGTTTCTTTAGTGGTTTACATATAGATGTACAGTCGTCCCTCGTTTATCGCGGTTAGTCTGTCCAGACTCTGGCGGTCGCACCTGACGTTGAAGGATTCCTGGGGTGCTCGAATGCACAGGCCTACAGTCCATACGTACAGTAATTTTAATTGTAATTGTAATACGGGGTGTATAATTGACTCAGACAACCGAGCGCACGCTGTATCATTTTCACTGTCTTGATCAACTTTTTAATGAATATATTTGAAAAAACTGCGATAGAGTGAAGCCCCGAAAGTCGAAGCACAAAGTGGCGAGGGAGGACTGTATACCTAAACACTATATTGTTTAGTTTTTTGTTTGTTTTAGAGCTTTGTGAAAAGTACAATGTGCTGTATACAGTCTTCAGGACCGACTTTCATGTCAGTTTTACCAGGTTCCAGCCGTGTTGACGTGAGGAGCTGTCGTCCATTGGGTTTTCACAGCTGTGTGATGTGCCAGAGGGCATTTGTGCATTCTGTGATGAGCATTTGCATTTTTCTATTTTTTTGCTGTTATGAGCAATGCCACAGACTATTTCTGGGCCATTATGTACACGGGTACATAGTCCTCTTGGGTGCCTGTGGGGGAACTGCTGAGTCTGGGCACTTCTGACCCGTCACACACCTATGTCTGTTTAGAACTTATTGACTGGGCTCCCAAGGACGGTGACTCAAGGCCAGTCAGACATCTCGATGCCAGGGTCTGCCAAGCCCAAAGGCTCTTCATTCCTTACCAATGCCTCTCTCCCCCAGATTCAACTGGCATGCTGGGCCGCATCATCTTTGCCTGGTGGAAGGGGTGAGTTTGTCTTCCAGGTCAGAGAATTCTGGCCACTTTCCCCAGACAGTGGTCATGTCTGTCTCAACCCTGGCTGTATTTGTAGCTCTTCCTCTCTCCTACCAGTTTCCAGGGTAGAGGAGATTTAGCGACCGTAGCATTAGAGCCGAGGAGTCTTTAGATAGAATGCCCAGTGCAGGTGGCTTGCCCGGGGTCACCTAGCAGTGAAGCCACATGGCCGTTGTGATCAGATCTGCCTTCGTGAGCACTGATTGCCACTTGCTGCCCATCGTGAAACAACATAGAGTCACTCAGGCTCTGAGTGTCTTTTGTTTGCTTGTTGAAAGAAATGCCTGAATGGGGCAGTTCTTAGCCCAAAAGGAATGACTGCTGCAGACACTGGAGTGGTTCAGACACTTAGTTGGACTTTGCTGAGCTGAGTGGGAAGTGGGCTGGAGCAAGTCATCAGGATCCCTGTCTCACATGAGATCCACATCACCATTTATTTTGAAGGGATGGAGGACCTTGTGTTGCCTGCTTCCTCCTCAAGTCAGTATTGGGCAACCTCAGGAGCAGTCGAGTATATTCTGTTAATTGTGATTGTGAGGTATATTGGGACAGTTTATGCTGAGTACTTAACACATTGCGTGGCACATAATATGTGCTCACTGAACACTAGCTGCTATTAACAGCTCTGTGCCTCACAAGTTCTCTATATGTCATCTCTAATTCTTACAACAACTTTTTAGAGTAGGATTGAATGTGTACATTTTACAGATGTGAAGCAAACCTAAAAGAGGGAAATTACTCACCCATGTCACTCAGCTTGTAACTAGTGGGGTGGGATTTGAACCCAAAGCCTGCACTCCTTCTGTGGTGTCAGGCTCCTTTATTGGGCAGAGCCCTAAACCAGGCCCATGCGTTCCAGTCCTGCCTCTGGCACATATTTCCTCGGGGGTTCCCTGTGTGTGTCCCATTCCCCACCCAGGAATGCTCCCTTCCCCTCTGGGAGATGTCAAAGTAAGGCTCAGGGTTGATGCTGCAAATTCTAAGCTGGGGCTGCAACATCTTCTGCCATTGGGGAAGTTGTCCCCAGGCGTTTGTGCATGGATCAGGGAGTCACTCTGCCTGGCAGAAGATGTGGCCATCATGGTGTTGTGTAACAAATATCCTAGGCCTGGATGGCAGAACCTGGCTCTTTCCCTTGGCCTATCCCCCCACTCTCCATGTGATCTGAGGGGAGTCATCTCCCTTCTCTGGGCTGATTGTCTGTAAAATGCAGAGGTACACTAAATGTAGTGCTTACCAGTCCAAAATATGTGGGCTTCCTGCTGGGTACCCTCAAAAGCAGGAGGGAGAGAAAGGGAGGTGGCAGAGGAACCCAGGGATAGCCTCGCTCAGCAGAGGGCCAGAGGGTGGGAAGCAGCTATAAGACAGTTCTATACCTTGATGTGCCCTGGGTTAGTGAGAGGGAAACACTAAGTGACCACCGAAGGTCCTCCCTACTAATGGTAGCATCTCAGGCAGCAGGGACAGGGTGCTGGGACAGGTGTCTGGCTGGGGTATAGGCTTTCTTGAGCCCTTCGGACCTAACCTTGGCCTAAGGATGGCCTGCACTGTCCGCAGGACGTCTTTTCTTCTTGAATCCAAATCGCAAACCTCTCCCCCCCAACAGGAGCAAACTGGACTGTAATGCCAAGCAGTGGAGGTGAGGAGCTGGGACTGAGGGGAGGGGAGTCTTCTATTATGAAGGCCTCTCACCTCTAAACTCTGATCCTTTCCCCCAGGCTTTTTGCTGACATCCTCAACGATGTAGCCATGTTCCTCGAGATTATGGCTCCCATATACCCAGTGTGTTTCACCATGACCATCTGCATCAGCAACCTGGCCAAGGTACCCACCTATGGGGAACCTCTATACCCATATGCCTAAGGTATCTGCCTTAGTGGTGCTGTGTGTGGGCTCCCTTAGGGCCCACTGCTGAGTCCAGCCTAGGCCTTGTGTTCAAGGCACTTCTAAAAGAGTGAAAAGTTCAGATGTTTCTACTCGGACCCAACCATACTTCCTGATCCTTCTTTTTTTTTTGGTACGTGCCCTTAGCGGTAACCATACCCGGGACTCTCTGGTCCGCAGGCCAACGCTCCAACCGCTGAGCCACACCGGGCAGGGCCTGATCCTTCTTTAGCAGACAGCCGTGGTGACTCAGACCGTCTGCAGCGGTGTCAGCACTGTGAGGGAGCTCTCGGCTGAGTGGGGTGCTCCAGTGCTGCCGTCTGGGGACAGCTCCCTACTGCCTTTCATTCCTTCAGTAAAATATTGATTGAGTGCATTTAACACAGAAGGTGGGCCCTCCCATCTTTGAAAAAGATTAAACAAATATTTATAGAATTATAGCTCCAGCCCTGGCCAGTTTGGCTCAGCAGTTAGAGCGTCTGCCTATGGATCAAAGAGTCTTAGGTTCATTCCGGTCAAGGGCACATACCTCTGTTGCAGTTTGCCCCGGCCCTGGTCGGGGTCATGCAGGAGGCAACCAGTTGATATGTCTCTCTCACATTGCTGTTTCTCTCTCTGTCTCTTACTCTGTCTGTCTCCCCCACTCTATCTGGAAATAAATGGGGGAAAAAAAGTGTCCTCAAGTGAGGATTAAAAAAATTTTAATTAAATTAAAATTAAAAAAAAAAAAAGAATTATAGCTCCAGATATTCCAGATGAGAAGTGTAGGGGCAAGAGAGTTCAGGAGGGAATGTGGCCCAGTTAGGAGATGAAAGCAGCCCCCTGGGGCTGGGTCCTAAAGAACGAGTTTAGGGTGCAGGGTAGGTGTTCTGAGCAGAAAGAACAGTGTGGGTCAAGGACCAGCGGCAAGACAGAGCACAGACTGGATGGTGAGGCGAGAGCAGCAAGAGGGGTGAATGCGAGCTCGGATGGGCCAGGCCGCTCACCCTCACGGTTCCTGTAGGCCAGCTTCACCCAGATGCGGCACCGGAAGCCCAGCATGGTTCGGGACAGAGCTTAGCAGTCTTCACCACACAGTGAAGTGCGTGGCCCAGACTAAAGACCCCTAAGAAGATTGAGATCCGCCTGAAAGGGCCCTCTGCCTGCTCACACTCACTCGAGAGTAGTGCTGCTCCCAGGGCAGTGCTGACTTTCAGATGCAGCAGCAGCTCTTCGTGGTGGGGACACCCAGCTTCCCCGGCCATGCACTGGAGGCTGGGAGCATCCGCTCACCCCCAGGGAGGAGACCGGAGAACACCCAGCTTCCACAGCCATGCACTGGAGGCTGGGAGCATCCGCTCACCCCCAGGGAGGAGACCGGAGAACACCCAGCTTCCCCGGCCATGCACTGGAGGCTGGGAGCATCCGCTCACCCCCAGGGAGGAGACCGGAGAACACCCAGCTTCCCCAGCCATGCACTGGAAGCTGGGAGCATCCGCTCACCCCCAGGGAGGAGAACGGAGAACACCCAGCTTCCCCGGCCATGCACTGGAGGCTGGGAGCATCTGCTCACCCCCAGGGAGGAGAACGGAGAACACCCAACTTCCCCAGCCATGCACTGGAGGCTGGGAGCATCCGCTCACCCCCAGGGAGGAGAACGGAGAACACCCAGCTTCCCTGGCCATGCACTGGAGGCTGGGAGCATCCGCTCACCCCCAGGGAGGAGACCGGAGAACACCCAGCTTCCCCGGCCATGCACTGGAGGCTGGGAGCATCCGCTCACCCCCAGGGAGGAGACCAGAGAAAATCCTGCTGTGGCTGTGAACCAAGGGTTGTGACCTCTGCCATGTTTCAGATTCCACACTGAACTCTGCCTTTGGGGCCTCAGTCTCCATATCGGGGAGTAGAACAGGGCCCTGAACTTCCTCCTCCCCTTTGCCCCAGTGCTCGCTAGAGTTCTGATCTCAGTGACCAGCACCTCCGTCCCCCAGGTACTGCAGCCAGAAGCCCGGCTGTCATCCCTGCCTTCTTTTCCCCCCTCACCTGTTACCCTCAGCTAATCTCCGTTCAATTCTGTTATTTTTCCTCCTGAATCTCTGTACTCCAGTCACTCCTGTTTCCATGCCACCCGCTGCCTCCTAACTGCTGAAAAGCACAGTTGCTCCCTAGGTGGTCTTCCTGTTTCCGTTCTCACCCTCTCAGTCCTCAGAGCAGCCCAGGCATCCTTCTAAGAGTGAAAATCAAGTCAGCTCACGTCCCTACTCCATTGCTCTTAGGATGAAGACTTACGAGGTTTTCGAGGTTCTGTGTATTTGGGATCCCGCATCACTCCAGCTCCTTTAGTACCACACTCCTTACCTTTGAGCAAACTGTTTCATCTGCCTACATAACAGCTTGTTTACTTTTTTATCATCTATTGATTTACAAGCTTCCTGAGGGCAGGGGTTGAGGCCGAATTCTATCATACCACTTCAGTATGTGCCTGACATCTAAAAGAGATTTGAGAAATGTGAGGTGAATGAAGGTGATTAGTGAGTGACGCTTGTCAATCAGCTTTAGATTTCAGAGGGCGAGACCAGGTCCCCTTTGGAGGTCAGGGCCGCTCTGTGTTTGGACTGGCCTGGAAGGCTTGGCTAGGCCTCCACTGGGGCAGAAGAGAGTGCAGTTAGTTACGGGCAGGCAGAATGCAGGCGCAGGCGTTAAGTTGGACCAGACTGGGCCAGGGGGAGGGTGCAGCCAAAGTAGAAGTTGGAGAGCAAGAAATTCTGGGCTAAGACTGGGCTTTGGGTCCCCACCTTGGAGAAGGAAGTTGAGTTTCCTTCGGGCGGGTCCACAGGGCGGTATGGCAGGCAGAACTTGAGTGTTCTCCTGGAACAAGACTGAGGTGGCCTAGTGGAAGTGCAGAGGGAGAAGCAGTACCAAGGACAGCATTCAGGGATTTGCTGTAGGGTTGCCTGAGGCCTGCTTTCCTCAAGCTGGTTTGCATTCACAGCCCAAGGCCACTGACCTGCACTCTTCCCTGTCCCCACCCAGTGCATTGTGAGCGTGGCTGGCGGGGCCACTCGAGCTGCACTGACCATGCACCAGGCCCGGAGGAACAATATGGCCGATGTGTCAGCCAAGGATGGCAGCCAGGTGAGCAGCCAGGACTGGAGGGACGATGTGGGTGAGGATGGTGGTGTGACAGGATGGGGGGCATCGGGCCAGGTCACGGTTTGGGAGTGTGGAGAGAAGCACCTGAGCGCTCCTGGGGTAGTGTGGGAGACACGCAGGAAGAAATGTGGGTACTCCCTGCTCTGACTTTCAGGATGGGTGGGCAGGTGTGAGGGTACAGGCCTGGGGGCAGTAAGTCCAAGCCGATCACCCCAGTCTCTGCCTAGTGCCCATGCGACGAGGAGGAGCCTGGCCGTGGCCCTGGTAGGCCGTGGCCCCGGGCTGGAAGGTGGATGTTCTGGTCATATGAGGCTCCACGGGTTAAAGCACTTGGCAGGTCAAAAAGTGCTCAGCATGTGAGGTGACTGGGGTCACTGACTGGCCAGGCATCCACTCAGCAGTTTAGCAGGCCTTCTGGCCCAGCCCCTCACCTGACCAAGGGAACCTGAGTAGGGATGTCTCACCCCTACAGGCTGAACCCTACAGGTGTCGGGCCCCCCTAACCGCCATGCTAAGTGCGTATGTGCATTGCCTCATTTAACTCTCACATCAGCCCCGTGAGGTCAATGCTGTTACTAGCCCTGTTTTACCGATGGGGAAAGTGAGGTCCAGGGATGTCAGAAATGGGACATGATTTTCTTTGACACTGGAGCAATTTAGGAATCTCTCTTCTCTCCAGTTCTACTTTCTGGCCTTCTCCTAAATTGTTTTGCTTGGTTTCTAAATAGAACATCATTTCTTTAAAAATTAAAACTAACTCCTTTCACTAATATTAATACAAGCTAAATTTGTTATGCATCAACTATGTATTTCATTTGTATGCACTCATTAAGCCCCTGTCGTGGTCCTGTGCAGGAGGTACCCCTTGTTGCCATTCCACCAAAGAGGAGATAAGGAATAGAGCCGGTCTCCCTGGGTCCCCTTGCAGGTCCCTTCTCTCGGGAACTGGTTGAACTAGTTCTTCCGCATTATCTCTCCTGTAGGTTGTTAGGGAAAAGACAGAAGTACAGTCCAAGCCTTGCTCTTTAGGACTCCCAGCGGCTGTGCCAGCCCTCACATCTACTCTCCTGCTAACCCTCAGCCCTCCCCACCCCCAGGCTGCATTTTCCAAGGCTCCAGGGCTTCCTCCACCGCAGGGGCAGTTACACCTCCCAGGGGCAGCCTGGGACATGTTCAGTCCTGCAGCAACACCTGCCTTCCGCTGATGTGGCTGCTGGACATGACTGTTCCCACCCAGGGAAGAGGAGGTTTCTGGTCCCCAGTTTACTGTCACCCCCACAGCCTTTGTGTCCATAGCCCACTCCCTTGCCGAGATGTCTGGGTAAGAAAAGTTCACCAGCCTCAGGCACCCCCTCTGTCAGGACCAACTCTCCTGGGGACCCCAGTAATAAGGGGCACAATCCAGACTCTTCCTCCCTCATGATGAGTTGGGGGCAGGTGAGCTGGGGTCTTTCCCTCTTGGGCCAGCTCAGTCAGACCATCAGAGGGATTTAATAACGTTGATTTTCAAGGTAAGAGATTTGGATCTTGTGACTTTCTTCCTAGGTCATTCCTTAACCATTTGCAAAAGTATTTGCCAGTAATAGCACACCCAAGGGACTAGGAGGAATTCAGACATTTTTAACCACCCAAGAAAATACTGCCCCATGCTGTGGACATTTATTTGGTAGGGCTACTCAGGTGACTCCTGCAAAGGAGAAGACAGTGTTTCAAGGGCGTTGCATCTGCCCGGGCAGAGAAGCAGCCGCTCTCTTTCATGTGACGGCATACTCACTAAATGTACTAGGTTCCCTCATCAGGGTGTGGAGCAGGTGGTTCTGGGGCAGGGAGGGGTGTTGAGAAAGGTGCTTGGGGCTATTCATTCTGGCCTGGAGGGGAGCCCTCCAACTCCCAACCCTTCTGCCATTTTCCAGGAGACGCTGGTAAACCTGGCAGGGCTCCTGGTCAGCCTCTTGATGCTTCCCCTGGTGTCAGACTGCCCGAGGTAAGCCAAGGGCAAGCACGGGACAGAGGTGCCAGCTGGGCTGCTGCCCCTACTGACCGCCTCACACCATCATTCCAGCTTCAGCCTCGGTTGTTTCTTCCTCCTCACCGCCCTCCACATCTATGCCAACTACCGGGCAGTGCGAGCCCTGGTCATAGAGACCTTGAATGAAGGCCGGCTCTGGCTGGTCCTGAAGCACTTCCTTCAGAGGGGAGAGGTACTTGATCCCACTTCCGCCAACCAGATGGAACCGCTGTGGACAGGTGACCCAACCCCTTGGTCTCAAGTTTTATGTCTCAGCCTGACCCCCCTGCCTGGGACTCCTGACTCCAACTTCCCACAGGTTTCTGGCCAACTCTGTCTCTGTCCTTGGGGGTCCCCCTGCATCGTTTGGTCTCCAGGTAAGTAGCTCAGTGTCCCACTAGTCACTGCTGGCCCCCACTTCCCACACATACATGTTCCAATTACACACTGGCCTTCCTTATTACACATGGGTTCCTCATTACACACTGGCCTTCCTCATTGCACACTGGGTTCATTACACACTGGGTTCCTTATTACACACTAGCCTTCCTCATTACACACTGGGTACCTCAGTACACACTGGCCTTCCTCATTACACACTGGGTTCCTCATTACACACTGGGTTCCTCATTACACACTGGGTTCCTTATTACACACGGGTTCCTCATTACACACGGGTTCCTCATTACACACGGGTTCCTCATTACACACTGGCCTTCCTCATTGCACACTGGATTCCTTATTACACACTGGCCTTCCTCATTACACACTGGGTTCCTCATTACACACTGGATTCCTCATTACACACTGGATTCCTCATTACACACTGGATTCCTCATTACACACTGGGTTCCTCATTACACACTGGGTTCCTCATTACACACTGGGTTCCTTATTACACACTGGGTTCCTCATTACACACTGGCCTTCCTCATTGCACACTGGGTTCCTCATTACACACTGGCCTTCCTCATTACACACTGGGATCCTTATTACACATGGGTTCCTTATTACACACTGGGTTCCTTATTACACACGGGTTCCTCATTACACACTGGCCTTCCTCATTGCACACTGGGTTCCTCATTACACACTGGGTTCCTCATTACACACTGGGATCCTTATTACACATGGGTTCCTTATTACACACTGGATTCCTTATTACACACTGGCCTTCCTCATTACACACTGGGTTCCTCATTACACACTGGGTTCCTCATTACACACTGGGATCCTTATTACACATGGGTTCCTTATTACACACTGGGTTCCTTATTACACACGGGTTCCTCATTACACACTGGGTTCCTCATTACACACGGGTTCCTCATTACACACTGGGTTCCTCAGTACACACTGGGATCCTTATTACCATGGTGCCTTTATTACACACTGGATTCCTTATTACACACTGGCTTCCTCATTACACACTGGGTTACCTCATTACACACTGGGTCCTTATTACACATGGTTTCCTTATTACACACTGTGTTCCTTATTACACACTGGCCTTCCTCATTACACACGGGGTTCCTCATTACACACTGGGTTCCTCATTACACACTGGGATCCTTATTACACATGGGTTCCTTATTACACACTGGGTTCCTCATTACACACTGGGATCCTTATTACACATGGGTTCCTTATTACACACTGGGTTCCTCATTACACACTGGCCTTCCTCATTGCACACTGGATTCCTTATTACACACGGGTTCCTCATTACACACTGGGTTCCTCATTACACACTGGCCTTCCTCATTACACACTGGCCTTCCTCATTGCACACTGGCCTTCCTCATTACACACTGGGTTCCTCATTACACACTGGGTTCCTTATTACACACTGGGTTCCTCATTACACACTGGGTTCCTCATTACACACTGGCCTTCCTCATTACACACTGGGTTCCTCATTACACACTGGGTTCCTCATTACACACTGGGTTCCTTATTACACATGGGTTCCTCATTACACACTGGGTTCCTCATTACACACTGGGTTCCTCATTACACACTGGGTTCCTCATTACACACTGGGTTCCTCATTACACACTGGGTTCCTCATTACACACTGGGATCCTTATTACACATGGGTTCCTTATTACACACTGGATTCCTTATTACACACTGGCCTTCCTCATTACACACTGGGTTCCTCATTACACACTGGGTTCCTCATTACACACTGGGATCCTTATTACACATGGGTTCCTCATTACACACTGGGTTCCTTATTACACACTGGCCTTCCTCATTACACACTGGGTTCCTCATTACTACACTGGCCTTCCTCATTGCCACACTGGGTTCCTCATTACACACTGGGTTCCTCATTACACACTGAGATCCTTATTACACATGGGTTCCTTATTACACACTGGGTTCCTTATTACACACGGGTTCCTTATTACACACTGGCCTTCCTCATTACACACTGGGTTCCTCATTACACACTGGGTTCCTCATTACACATGGGTTCCTCATTACACACTGGCCTTCCTCATTACACACTGGGTTCCTCATTACACACTGGGTTCCTTATTACACACTGGGTTCCTCATTACACACTGGGTTCCTCATTACACACTGGGTTCCTCATTACACACTGGGTTCCTCATTACACATGGGTTCCTCATTACACACTGGGTTCCTTATTACACACTGGCCTTCCTCATTACACACTGGGTTCCTCATTACACACTGGGTTCCTCATTACACACTGGGATCCTTATTACACACGGGTTCCTTATTACACACTGGGTTCCTCATTACACACTGGGTTCCTTATTACACATGGCCTTCCTCATTACACACTGGCCTTCCTCATTACACACTGGGTTCCTCATTACACACGGGTTCCTCATTACACACTGGCCTTCCTCATTGCACACTGGGTTCCTCATTACACACTGGGTTCCTTATTACACACTAGCCTTCCTCATTACAAACTGGGTACCTCAGTACACACTGGCCTTCCTCTTTACACACTGGGTTCCTCATTACACACTGGGTTCCTCATTACACACTGGCCTTCCTCATTACACACTGGGTTCCTCATTACACACTGGGTTCCTCATTACACACTGGGTTCCTTATTACACATGGGTTCCTCATTACACACTGGGTTCCTTATTACACATGGGTTCCTCATTACACACTGGCCTTCCTCATTGCACACTGGGTTCCTCATTACACACTGGGTTCCTCATTACACACTGGGATCCTTATTACACATGGGTTCCTTATTACACACTGGGTTCCTCATTACACACTGGGATCCTTATTACACTGGGTTCCTTATTACACACGGGTTCCTCATTACACACTGGCCTTCCTCATTGCACACTGGGTTCCTTATTACACACGGGTTCCTCATTACACACTGGCCTTCCTCATTGCACACTGGCCTTCCTCATTACACACTGGGTTCCTTATTACACACTAGCCTTCCTCATTACAAACTGGGTACCTCAGTACACACTGGCCTTCCTCATTACACACTGGGTTCCTCATTACACACTGGGTTCCTCATTACACACTGGCCTTCCTCATTACACACTGGGTTCCTCATTACACACTGGGTTCCTCATTACACACTGGGTTCCTTATTACACATGGGTTCCTCATTACACACTGGGTTCCTCATTACACATGGGTTCCTCATTACACACTGGGTTCCTCATTACACACTGGGTTCCTCATTACACACTGGGATCCTTATTACACATGGGTTCCTTATTACACACTGGATTCCTTATTACACACTGGCCTTCCTCATTACACACTGGGTTCCTCATTACACACTGGGTTCCTCATTACACACTGGGTTCCTTATTACACACTGGGTTCCTTATTACACACGGGTTCCTCATTACACACTGGCCTTCCTCATTACCCACTGGCCTTCCTCATTACACACTGGGTTCCTCATTACACACTGGGTTCCTCATTACACACTGGGTTCCTCATTACACACTGGGTTCCTCATTACACACTGGCCTTCCTCATTACACACTGGGTTCCTTATTACACACTGGGTTCCTCATTACACACTGGGTTCCTCATTACACACTGGCCTTCCTCATTACACACTGGGTTCCTCATTACACACTGGGTTCCTCATTACACACTGGGTTCCTTATTACACACTGGGTTCCTTATTACACACTGGGTTCCTTATTACACATGGGTTCCTTATTACACACTGGGTTCCTTATTACACACTGGCCTTCCTCATTACACACTGGGTTCCTCATTACACACTGGCCTTCCTCATTACACACTGGGTTCCTTATTACACACTGGCCTTCCTCATTACACACTGGCCTTCCTCATTACACACTGGCCTTCCTCATTACACACTGGCCTTCCTCATTACACACTGGGTTCCTCATTACACACTGGGATCCTTATTACACACTGGGTTCCTCATTACACACTGGGTTCCTCATTACACACTGGGTTCCTCATTACACACTGGCCTTCCTCATTACACACTGGCCTTCCTCATTACACACTGGCCTTCCTCTTTACACACTGGGTTCCTCATTACACACTGGGATCCTCATTACACACTGGGTTCCTCATTACACACTGGGTTCCTCATTACACACTGGCCTTCCTCATTACACACTGGGTTCCTCATTACACACTGGGTTCCTCATTACACACTGGCCTTCCTTATTACACACTGGGTTCCTCATTACACACTGGCCTTCCTCATTACACACTGGGTTCCTCATTACACACTGGGTTCCTCATTACACACTGGCCTTCCTCATTACACACTGGCCTTCCTCATTACACACTGGGTTCCTCATTACACACTGGGTTCCTTATACACACTGGTTCCTCATTACACACTGGGTTCCTCATTACACACTGGGTTCCTCATTACACACTGGGTTCCTCATTACACATGGGTTCTCATTACACACGGGTTCCTCATTACACATGGGTTCCTCATTACACACTGGGTTCCTTATTACACACTGGGTTCCTCATTACACACTGGCCTTCCTCATTACACACTGGGTTCCTCATTACACACTGGGTTCCTCATTACACACTGGGTTCCTCATTACACACTGGGTTCCTCATTACACACTGGGTTCCTTATTACACATGGGTTCCTTATTACACACTGGGTTCCTTATTACACACTGGGTTCCTCATTACACACGGGTTCCTCATTACACACTGGGTTCCTTATTACACACTGGGTTCCTCATTACACACTGGCCTTCCTCATTCACACATGGCCTTCCTCATTACAACACTGGGTTCCTCATTACACACTGGGTTCCTCATTACACACTGGGTTCCTCATTACACACTGGGTTCCTCATTACACACTGGGTTCTTATTACAC